GCGCAAAGTGCCCATACTGTACGCCGCCTATCGTGCGTTTCACACCGAAGTGTAGACATTGCATGCCGCGTAGAGCGCTTCGCGCGACGAAATGTCAACGCGATGCAAAAATTTCCGCGCCATCGCGCGACCGAATGCCGCGATGATGTAATCACTTAAGCGCGCTTCGCGCGCCGAGGTGTACATCCTGTGAACCGTGGAGCGCGCTTCGCGCGCCGACATGTAAGCATGGTAAAGGGGTTGGCGCGCTTTGCGCGCCGATGTGTTCATATTGCCAACCGTCTAGAGCGCATCCCGCACGGACATGTGGATGTTGCAAACCGTTTAGCGCGCTTCGCGCGCCGATGGTTTCACGCTGTAAGCCGCCTAGCGCGCCTCGCGCGCCAGATCGCTGCACTAGTGAAACAAGTTGAGCGCGCTCCGCGCGCCGAAAGGTAAGCGTCGCAAAGGGTGCAACGCGCTTCGCCCGCCGAAATGCGATTGCAATATACGCCGCGTAGCGCGCTTCGCGCGCCATATTATAATGCAGCGTCTGCTGTTTCGACCCCTTCTACAGCTCAGTGCGGCGCTCTGCTGTGCCAGCCGCGGGCGCTTCTTTTTTGTGCCCCAGTCCAGTGCGACACGTTCTGTTTCTAGCCCAGTGGGATGTTTCCCGCGGTGTCAGCCCAGCACGACATATCGGGCACTCCAGCCCCGCACATCATTCTCCAGACCCCAGCCCAGTACGACATTTCCTGTGTTCCGAACCTGTACGACATGTTCTGGCCCCAGCCCAGTGCGACATTTTTGTTGCGCTTTCCTAATACGTCATGTGATGTACGCGAGCGCAGTGCGACACCTTCTGTCTCCAGCCCAGTGCGACTTCCTCTGTGCTGTTAGCTCAGTACGACATGTTAGGTACTTGTGCACCCTTCGACATTTTCACTACGGCAGCCCAGTTGGACATATGCTGTCCCCCGTCCAGTACGACATGTTCTGCCTCCAGCCCAATGCGACATGCCCCGTTGTGCCAGCACAGTACGACATTTGTTGTACTCCAGCCCATGGCAACCTTTTGTGTCCCCAGCCCATGCGACGTTGTCTAAGGTGCCAGTCCAGTGCGATATGTTGGGTGCTCAAACCCCGTCGGACATTTTCCTTTCTGCAGCCCAGTACAACATTTCCTGTGTTCCAGCCCAGTGTGCCATTTTCTGTCTCCAGCCCAATGCGACATTCTGTGCTGTGCCAGCCCAGTACGGCACCTTCTATTCCAGCCAAATGCGACATATTCTGTATCCAGCCAAGTACGGCGTTTGCTGTTTTGCAGCCCAGTGCGACATGTCCTGTGGTCCAGCCCCGCACAACACCACCCGCACTTCAGCCCAGCACGACATTTCTTGCATTCTGGGCCCATACAACAGTTTCGTTCCCCAGCCCAGGACCACATTTTTGTTGCGGCAGCCCAGTACGACATGTTGTGTATTCTGCCTCGTGCGACACTTTCTGGTTGCAGCCCAGTGCGACGCTGTCTGTGATGTTAGCCCAGTGCGGCATGTTCTGTACCATAGCCCCGTGCACAATTTGCGGTACTCCTGCCCAATACGACATTTCCTGCACTTCAGCGCCGTGCCACATTTGCTGGCTTGAGACCAGCACGACGTCTTGTTCTGGCAGCCCAGTGTCACACCTCTTGTAGTTCAGCCCAGTACGACATTTCTTCTTCCTCGGCGCCAACCCAATTCGACATATCCTGGACTCCGGCCCCGCACGACATTTCGGGTACCCCAGCCCAGTGCGACATTTCCTATGTTCCGAACCAATGCGTCACTGTCTGTCCCCAGCGCAGTGCGACATTGTCTGCGTTGCCAGTCCAGTACGGCATTTTCGTACCCCAGCCAAGCGCGACACTTTCTATCTCCAGTCCAGTGCGACGTTTGTCGTGGTGCCAGCCCAGTACGACATGTGTTGTACTCCAGGCCCGTACGACGTGTTCCGTCCCCAGCTCCTTGCGGCATTCCCTGCCGTTCAGCACAGCACGACATTTGGTGTTTCCAGCCCAGTGCGACATGCTCTGCTGTGGCAGCACAGCACGTTTGTTTTTTCTCCAGCCGAACACGACTTATTGTTCCAGCCCAGTACGACGCCTTCTGCTGTGGCAGCCCAGTACGACATGGTCTGCACTCCAGCCCCGTACCACATTTTCCGAAACCCAGCCCAGTATTACATTTCGCGTGCGCCAGCCAAGTGCGACATGCTGTCTGTGTCCAGTCCGCACGGCATGTTCTGTCCTGCCAGCCCAGCGCGGGGCTTTGTGGATTTAGCGCTTGGCGACACGTTCGGTCTCCATTCCAGTACGCAGTTTTCTGTGCTGTTTGCTCAGCACGACGTGTCCTGTACTTCAGCCCCGTACGATATTCACCGTACTCCAGCCCAGTACGGCATTCCCTATATACCAGCCCGGTGCGACATCCCCCCCCCCCCCCCCCCACGCCAGAATGACGATTCCTGTGATGCCAGCCCGTTACAACATTTTGTTGCATGCCAGCGCAGTACGAGGCTGCCCCTCTCAAGCCCAAGATCTCAGCAACTCCACTCCATCACATCCACGTGTTGGCTTCATTCGAACCGATCGAACTTCCATTGTCCCTGCCTTATTGCAACCTACCTGCAAGTATATTACATATCACCACATGATGCATGCATAGTACCAGCCATACAACTCCACCAACTCCCAATTTCACCCCGCATCCGACGCCAACGGCTCCCCATGTAGTCTCTAGCTTAGCCCATTCGATCACAATGTGCCCCTGGGTCTTCCTCCATCATGTTTCCATCCTGCTCCTACCAGATCCCGTTGTATAGCATTCGACCCATCCTTCCCCACCCTGCTCCTCTGTTTCCCGTCATGCCCGATCAAATCCTAAACGTTCACCCGTCCGATCCAGACGGGTCACCGCGTTACCTCTCGGCATTTCAGGCGTGGTCCACATTTACCCCCCCCCCCCCTCCCAGCGCGCCCACGCCGATCCACGTGCCACCCCCGCCATACCCCATCACATTCCACCCTTCTCCTGCCCCATCATGCACCCGTTGTTATCCCCCGTCATGTCCCGCCCTATTTCCCGAATGTCCAAGCCGACCATCGCGCCCGCAACTTGCAACGCCATTGCCCCCCTGCTACCTGGAGGGCTGACACGGTCAAGGTCCGAATGAGGACGCCGCAAATATTCATAACAGAAGCAGATACACCATTCGAAATGAATGTGCTCCTCGTTTGTCGGGATCAAAATAGCCGGACGCAGTGCGTCATGATATTGTATATCTATCTATACACATATAGATGTATATATAAATATATGTGTGTGTGTGTGTATTTGCACGTGCTGCTTATTCACATACATTTCATGCGCACTCATACAACTTTAAGATTTTTGCCATCCACCACGGCTGATTGTTGCACGCCCAGCATTCGTGAGTGTGCCAGCGCAGACGCATTGCATACTGTGTACACGGGGCACGTTATATATAGACTCAAAATTTTGCGTTTACTTCATTCGCCTGGGGGCCCGAGGAGAGGCCCGCGGATTACGCCTAGTGACCCAAGAGCATTCTGCGCGGGTCGGCGGTCATTCTGTCGTCTTGGGGGGCCGTCTTGGAGGGTCGTCTTGGGGGGGCCGTCTTGGCGGGCAGTCTTGGGGGGCCGTCTTGGGGGGGCAGTCTTGGGCGGCCGTCTTGGGGGGCTGCATTGGGGAAGCGTCTTGGGGGGCCGTCTTGGGGGGGGGGGGGGGGGGGGGGGGGGGGGGGGGGGGGGGGGGGGGGGGGGGGGGGGGGGGGCGCATTGGAAAACAACGAAACAAAATGTTGCATTTACCTGAGACGCCTGGGGGCCCCGAGAGGAGGCCCGCGGATTACGCCTAATGACCCAAGAGCATTCTGCGCGGGTCGGCGGTTATTCTGTTGCCTCGGGACGCTGTCTTGGGGGAGAGGGGCCGTCTTGGGGGAGGGGGCGTCTTGGAAAGCCGCGTAACAACATGTTGCGTTTACCTGAGACGCCTGGGGGGCCCGAGAGGAGGCCCGCGGATTACGCCTAATGACCCAAGAGCATTATGCGCGGGTCGGCGGTCATTCTGTCGTCTTGGGGGGCCGTCTTGGAGGGTCGTCTTGGGGGGGCCGTCTTGGCGGGCAGTCTTGGGGGGGCCGTCTTGGGGGGGCAGTCTTGGGCGGCCGTCTAGGGGGGCTGTATTGGGGAGGCGTCTTGGGGGCCGTTTCGGTGGGCCGTCTTCGCGGTCCGCGCGTGCCCCTTCATGCCCCGCTTCTCTTCTCCATCCCCGTCCCTTCCTCTCCCGCGCTCTCCAAACGCGTGCAGGCAGTTATACGCCCGTTGTCCTTGGTTGTGCACAATGGAATCTCGTCGCCCAGCCTCGTATGATACAGTGCGGTTTGGTAGAAACAAATACTGTAGTGGTATAACATTTACGTCCAAGCGCTTTCGTGTTAATGTTGCTGCATCCTGTGTCCTCTGACGACTGCGCGGGGCAGATGTCGGCGGCGTTTCTTCGTGGCTTCGCCTGAACTTGGATGCAATATTCAACGCATTTTCTTGAGAGCAGGGTGCCGTCGATCTCTTCTGACACGTGAAATAGCGCCTGGGGCCACCCTGCCCGTGATGGGGTGGTTTGGTACGTACGTTTGTGGCTTGTTAGGTTGCGCCTCGGTCTGGAGGCATGCGGTGGGGCAGGGGGTCGAGGAGCAGGCCCCTTGATCGAAACGGCTGCAGTGGAAGATGGAGGGGGGGAGGGGGAGGAGGAAGAGGAGGTGGGGCGAGAGGAGGGGGGCGAGGCAGGGAGAGGACGGGGCGGTCAGGGACGAGGATGGCAAAGCTAAAACGACAGCGATGACGATCATTTCAAAGCCACTACGGCCGCAAACCTTTTTGCAGGTGTCACTGCGGGCACTGCGGGCCCAGCGGCCCAGCTCGCCATTTTTACGCCTGACGCTACTCTGTCACCTCCTGGCGCGCCATGGGCAGGCAAGGCAAAAAGGGCAAGGGCGTCCAGCCCAGCCAGGAACCTGATTCTTGCGAGGATGATGGGGTCGGCGCGTGGAGAGGGGGCGCAGGAGCCGCGCAGGCTGCACCCGCCGTCGGCCCGCCACCCAAGAAGACCAAGACCGGCGACGCTGCTGTGGAGAAGCCCGCTGCGAAGCCTCCGAAGAAGTTCAAGAGCGCCGACTGCCCTACGTGCAAGAAGCCAGCGACTGAGCGCCAGTTCCACGCCTCGGCCAAGTTGGTCGATGGCAAGATTGTGACCGACCAGGGCTGCCTGTCCTGCGAGGAGGTGTTCATCTGCGCGGGCCTGGCCGACGAGTACGATGTGGACAATTTCGCAGAGTTCACGCAACTATGCTTGTCCAACAAGGCCGCCCAGAGTGCGTTCGTGGGCTGCCTGAAGATGTACGACCGCATGTCGCACAACACCGCAGCGGGGATCCAACTTGGAGAGGTTGCGGCGGTTCGTGGAACTATCAAGGACGAGGAGGGATGGAGGGGGAGGCACGAGGGAGGAACAATAATGGGAAGAGGAGGCGGAGATGGAAGAGGAAGGAGGACAGGAAACAAGCATACTGTTATAATGCTTAGTTTGGTTGTTTCACGTTCGCATCCTCTGAAGGTTGGCTTGGCCACATCTGCTGGGTACCGCGTCATTGCCTACAAGAGGGGGCTCACGCCAGCTCAGTTCCTGTCCATCTACAGTAAGCACCCCGGTGAGATCGGCCTCCGCGTGAACGACCTCATGGCACCCAACGGGAAGCGCTACAAGGGCATCTTGAAGGATGACGAGGGCGAGACTCTGGGCTACAAGTACGAGTTCTACACCGACTCGCACGCGTTCAAGAGCGACCTGCTGTGCCCACGAGAGCGGGTGCTCCACGCGGGTCAGGTGTCCACGAGTTGGAAAAAGAGCCAGAACGCGGAGCTGAAGAAAGGCATGCTGCAGCTGCTCAAGTGCTGCACGCTCACCGATCAGAAGATCCGCGAGAGTTTGGATGCCTATGCCCAGGGCACCCCTCCTCCCACCAGCTTGGAGAACTTGGTCGGCCAGGATGACCACAGCAACGAGGCCGACGAAGTCATGGAGTCCGATGTCGAGGATGCGGAGGACTTGGACGCCCCCGCTGCGAGTTCCCAACCTGTGGAAAAGGACTTATCACCAAAAACGCATTCTCAAAGACCACCAAGAGATCCAAGAGCCCCCAGGGGTCCCCCAAGAGCCAAGAGATGTAAGATATCCAAGATCCCAAGAGATCACCAAAAGACCCCCAAGATACCCCCAAGAGATCCAAGAGCCCTCATTCAAGAGCCCCTCAAGAGCCCCCAAGAGTCCCCCAAGAGCCAAGATATCCAATAATCAAGAGCCCCCGAGAGCTCCCCAAGAGCCCCAAGAGCTCCAAGAGATCCAAGATCGCAAGACCCCCAAAAAGAGCATCCCAAGAGAACCCCAAGAGATCCAATATCCCAAGGGATTCCCAAAAAGCATACCAAGAGACCCCCCAAGATTCCCCCAAGAGCCCTCCAAGAGATCCAAGAGACCTCCGAGAGCACGACAACCAGCAACTCCTCCCCCTCCTCCTCAACACCTCCTTCCATCCTTCACCGCCCTCCCCCTCCTGCGCCATTCCCTCCACCTTCCGCTCATTTACTCCGACCCCGATATCTTGGAGGGCTCTTGGGGGACTTTTGCACGTGTCCTGAGGGCTGCTTTGGGGTTGTTGGGGACTTCCTGGAGGTATCTTGGAGACCCATTGGGGCTGCCCGTCGGCCTCTCAGAAGCTCCGGAGCGCATCATGGGGCCGCCCCTGCGTGCGTGGTTCGAGATTCGTACGCGCTCCTCCTCTTGGGACCACATGAGAAACAAATTCACATATGATGTATGGACCGTTGATCGCACGTACGCAATATGCAAGGTAAGCAATTGTGCATTCACCTCATCCTTGCTCGTTTCCTCCTCCTCCTCCTCCGCCCTCACACGTACCACTCGTGTCATACTCAGCGCTACGCTTTTGGACCCTAAGATGCGGGTTTTCTGAGTCGTTGATGCGCTGATGGATGTAGACATTATGCTAGAGCTGATCACATGTTTGCCAGCGTGGGCCCCGAACAGTACACTATTGCAATGCGGATGTGTGGGATATGTGGCGTAAGATATGCGGTGTAAGTAGTGCGATGCAATCTACCTGGGGCAAACTATGTCGTGTACGCTATGTTACGCAGGCTACGTAATACAAGCTCTGTGGTGGAAGCGGTGACAGCGACCCCTCCACCCCCCGCCACCTCCCCCATCCACCCCTTCGGATGTCCCTGGGAACATTTCTTGGGGGCACCCAGGGGGCTCCAAGAGGGCCCCAACAAGGCCCCTGGAAGGCTCCAGAAGGGTAGGTTCTCGGTCGGATGTGAATCGTGCGGGCCCCTCGATTCCTGGTCGGGAGGTGAGTCTTTCGGGCCCCTCAGTTCTCGGTCGGAGGTGAGTCGTTCGGGTCCCTAGGTAGGTTGTCTTGACACGGCTGGATTCCTCAAAGTAGGTTGTCTTGACACGGCTGGATTCCTCAAAGTAGGTTGTCTTGACACGGCTGGATTCCTCAAAGTTGTTGTATCTCTATTAAAAACATCCAGCCACTCCCTGTTTTCTCAAGGCTTTGGTGGGGATGTTTCTAATAGAGATACAGCAGCTTTGAAGAATCCAGCCGTGTCAAGACAACCTACTTTGAGGAATCCAACCGTGTCAAAACAACCTACTTTGAGGAATCCAGCCGTGTCAAGACAACCTACCTAGGGACGCGAACGATTCACCTCCGACCCAGAACTGAGGGGCCCGAAAGACTCAACTCCCGACCAGGAACCGAGGGGCCCGAACGACTCACCTCTGACCGAGAACTTCGGGGCTCCTTCTCGTATTCACCATTATCCCCCTAATCATCCGTCTAGTCCTCATCACCCTATGCATCATCCCTCTCCCCACTCCCTCCTTCGCACGTATCGGAGATCCCCCTCTTTGCTCCCGCATTTCCTGATTACCTCAACGCGCCTGGGCGTCGTTGATGGGCTGGTGGGGATATGCGAAGCGTCAAAAATGTCAAAGTCCTGCATCGCATACATGCAGCCAGATAATACGTTCAAGGGTGGACCGCGGCCCCGTGGGGGTGTCCGAAACAGGAGCACGTCGAAATCGTCGGTCGTCGAGAGGAGCACGCGCGGCGCTTCGATGACCAGTCTGCGAGAGGTCCTCAGAGCGAGCGGGGCGGCCCAGCGGCTTCGGTGAGAGCTGGGTGCTCAGGCGGCCTCGGGCCCGCTGGGCAGCAGCGCGGCTCCAGGATCCGAGCGGCTCTCGACGGCGCCGAGACCGCTGGTGGCAAGAGGTCGCACGGTGGCATGTCGCTCTCTGGGAAGCCGTTCGTCTCGCCTGGAGATAAGGGCGCTCGCGTGAGGCACAGCGACGAGGACTGCATTAGGCTGTTGTCATTCGACCGCGTCGTGGAGAATCAGCAGTCGGGCATCCACGAGCGCTTCGCCAAGAAGCTGCTCGACGAAATGTCTTTGCAGGAGCCTCCCACGCCCGCGCACTTCACCTTCGAGCGCCACATGGACATGGTCGACAAGATCGTCAGCTTCAACAAGCTGGACGTGATGGCTTGCAGGCGGGAGGAGCTCGACGCGCGCCTGAATGAGCTCGACGCGATCAAGGAGTACTAGCCCTCGTCACGCAAGGAGCCCATGGCCAATCCTCCTCATCCCTGGCCCTCATCTTCCCCAAGCTCCTCCTCCACCTCTTATTCTCCCTCTTCGCCCTTCTGATTGCCTTCTTCTTCCTCGTCGTTCTCCTCCCCGTGTTTGTTCTCGCCCTCCCCGTGCTTTCGATGACATCCGTCCGCCTTCTCCGAGGGTGAGCTCCTGGAGAGGCGCTTGGCCGACCTGGGGCACCTCAGCACGCAGATGAACCAGCAGGCCATTGCCACCATGCTCGCCGCCATCGTTCCGTGGAAGCTCGGCGATGATAGCGTGGCGTCTGGTGACGATGCCATCTTTGACCCGATGTCCCCTTGCCTTTACATGATAGACGGCAGCCACGCCGAAAAGGCTACTCGCATGCAGAACCTCCTGTTGCAGCACTGCCTCATCCCCCTGATCAGCACAGGGCCAGCTGCCACCGAGACGATCCTAATGTTTTGCAGTCGGTCGGTCAGCACCTTGTCTCAGAAGCCCGAGGATCTGCAGGAGGAGTACTTGCAAGTGATTCTGCCGCCCATGCGGGTTCTGCGAGCGATGGCTACGATCTGCAAGCCGAACGAGACCGCTCACTTGGCTGACGCCCTGACACTGGTGTCTCCCAGCATGAGCGCTACGAGCGACAAGAGCGGAGTGACGATCATGCAGGCAACCGGCGCCGTCCTTGTCGGCACGAAGTCCTGGGACACAATCGTGGCAGACATCAAGCACAAGAGCCAGTCTACCAGGGACAACCTCCCGAAGTACATGGATGTCATGGGGTCCTTGGAACAGATCAAGGACGGCAAAGGCGATCTACCGAGCGCTGCCGAGATGAAGCCCCTCCTCGAGGACGGCAAGAAGCTCTTCAATGAGGTGCGAGAAGGGATGGTGACCAGCCTGAAAGTTACCATCGGCAATGCTTTGACCTACTTCGTAGAGAAGACGCTGGCGCCGCTCCGCGCTCAAGATTCCAGCATCAGCGATGCGATTCCCGACTTTTCCAAAGTAGACTTGAAGACCTTAGAAGATATCATCAGTTCAGCCAACTCCTCCCTGGAGTACGCCATCTTCCCTGCCGCCAAGTACAAGGAAGAGGTCGAGAGGTGCAGCAAGGCGGCGCAAACGGCTGGAGTGAAGAGCAAGTTTATCGATGCGATGCGTGTCATCGATGCCCAGTGGGTTCAGGAAGTGGTCAGCTCAGACTGCAATGACTTCGCCCAGGCCGTGCGGGACGCGAGGGCCTTCGCTGGCGAGGTGGACCTCGATGCGAACAGTCACTTCGACATTATTCTGAGCGGTGTAGATACAGAGCCCAACTGGATGAAGGATGGCGCCCAGCAGTTGATCGACTCCTGCAATACCGTCTGCGGCTTCAGCGATTTCAAGCGGCCCATCGATGACAAGTACACGCAGAAATTTTGTGCGATTTCGAAGGCTTACGATGTACATGACATTCGCATGGCTTATTTGAACTTGGGTGTCGACGACTCGTCCCGCCTGCAACATCCTGATGCTATGAGGGTTTTGAAGGCACTTAGTTCTGGAGTAGCTGGCCTCAGAGAGTCTATCACGGGCATGGAGGGTTGGCACAACACCCAGGCTGGACAAGAGCTCCACCGCTCGGCACAGGTGCCCAAGGCAGCGGATGAGGCCGACTACGCGAAGCTCACCGACGAGGTGAACCAGCTCGTCAGCGACATCGATGCCGAGACCAAGAAGCAGGAGCCCGAGGGTGAGCATTGGCTGAAGAAGGTCAAGAGCAGTAACGATACCATGGCAACGATCTTCAAGCTATCCAAGAAAACACGATTCAAGCTCGACGGCACGAAGCTGGAGAAACTAGCCGAGAAGCTCATGACGAAGAGCAAGGCCGCCACCGATAACATAGATCTCTTCGACAGAAATGAGCCCCATGACTTCACCAACAAGCTCGAGATGGCTGCAAAGAAGGTCCAGCTGTACATCCATGAGGCCCAGTTCCTCTTGGGCTGGGACCAATTCAAGCTCGACGAGGTGGGGCTCCACAAGTTCGCGAAGAAACTTGACAAGGACATGCGCGAGTGGACCTTCCGCAACGTCAAGATCGGCCTCCAGTTCGAGTCGCCGCTCGACTTGCGGCTCAAGGAGATAGTGGAGATGGCTTGATGGCCTGGCGTGCTGCTACAGAAGACGCCGTGCCCGAGCCCTCAGCGCCTGCTCGCAGCGACGGTGCCTTCAGGCACCTCTTCTTCCAGAGGTGGTGAGAGGAACACACCTCTTGCCTCTTTCTCTTCCTGCTCTTGCTCCTGCTGTTTTTTGCTTACTCCTGATGGCTTTCGCCGTTTTCCGTCGCTCCCTTGGGCCGTCTCGGGGACCTCCTGGGCCGTCTTAGGCAGCGTTGGGGTCTTGCTGGGCCGTCTTGGGGTC